GAAAACTAGAAATCCATATGCAAAAAAAAAAATTAGACCGCTATCTCTCACCATAGACAAAAATCAACTAAAAATGAATCAAGCCAGGTACAGTGGCTCATACCTGTCTTCCCAACTACTCAGGAGGCTGAGGCAGGAGGATCACAAGGTTGAGGCCAGCCTGTACAACTTAGTGGGAATCAACCACAAAATTCAAAAAAAAACCCAAAACACTAAGTTCAGTGATACAGCACTTCCTAGCATGTGTGAAGCCTTGGGTTCAATTCCCATTACAGAAAAGAAAATTCCTACAATGAGCTCTCACCCCAGTTATAATGACAATAACAGAAAACACTGACCAGAATGCAGAGAAAAGGGAACTACTGGTGGGACTGTAACTGGTACTGCCATTATGGAAAACAGTATGGAGGCATCTCAAAAAATTAGAAATAGAACTACCACATGATCAGGAAAAACCACCACTGGGAATATATCCACAGGAAATGACATCAGTATGGCGCACAGGCATCCGCACTCTCGTGTTCATCACAGCGCTGCTCACAACAGTGCAGTGTGCCCATCAGTTGATGAGGGGGTAAAGAAAATGTGGTACAGACACACAATGGAATACTATTCAGTCATAAAAAATGAAATCTTGTCATTAGCAGCACAATGGATGGAATTAGAGGATATTATGTTAAGTAAAGTAAGGCACAAAAAGCCAAATACCACATGTTCTTTCTTATATGGAGAAGCTAAAGCAAATCTTACAGAAGAAAAGACTAGAATAGTAGTTCCCAAAGACTGGGGGCATACAGGTTGTAAGAGGGATGGAGAGGGGATAATTAAAGGGTAGAGGAATGCAGGTGAGAAGTAGGAAGAACTTCTAAGGTGGGATAACTATGGGTGACAACAATTAATTGACAGTAACTAAGAGAGGATTTTGGATGTTCCCAACACAAAGAAATGACATATGTCTGAGGGGACAGATAGGCGATTCCCCTGATCTGACCATCACACACTGTACATGTGTTGATACGCCACACTCTGTCCCATAAGTATGTACGACTACTGCATGCCAATTTCAAATCTACACAATTGAAAATACTCACGAAAGTGCAAAAGTATGTTCACTGGAACACTAGCTCCACTAGAACCAAAGTACAGGGCCAGTAACAGAACTGGCTAGCTAAGTAAAATACAGTACATCCTTGAAACTAACATGGAGTAACATGAAGCATTAAAAAAAATAGTAGATCTAGCTGGGCATGGTGCCGCACACCTGTAGTCCCTGCACATGGAAGGCTGAGGCAGGAGGATCACCAAGAGTTTGAGGCCAGCCTGGGCTACACAGTGAGTTCCAGGCCAGCCTCAACTCCTTAGCAAGGCCCTGTTTCAAAAAACAAAAAAAAGTAGGCCTGTAAGTAAAGGAGATCACTGACAAATGCTAGAGGGAGAAGCATACCACAGAATTGTATGTAAAACAGTATGATTCTTTTTTTTTTTTTTTTTTTTTGAGACAGGATCTCACTGTGTAGCTCAAGCTGCCCTCAAACTCACAGTGATCCTCCCGCCTCAGCCTCCCAAGTGCTGGGATTACAGGCATGCAACACTATGCCCGGTGCACACATTAATTCAATAACAACAAAAATAGATATTGTCAAGAGGCATTTCTTTCCAGCTCCCTCCTACTCCCTGCTGGACTCACATCTCTGCTCCTGCCTTGTTCTCCACCCCACCACTCCTGGCCCAGCCCCACTTACAAATGCAGGCAGCAGCGAGCAGGCGGCTGGCAGCATAGGGAGCATGGCAGCTTGGGAAGAGGGGCTGCACCATGTAGTTGGCAAAGGTGATGGCGATAACAGCCTGGCTGCTGGGTTCAATGATGAGCAAGGAGGTCCAGAGGCGGATGAAGGCAAGAAGTCCCCCGAAGGCCTCCAGGATGTAGGCATAGCTGGCCCCAGATTTCTTAATGGTGGTGCCCAGTTCCGCATAACAAAGGGCCCCAACGACAGAGAAGAGGCCCCCAATGGCCCAGATGACCAGCGAGAGGCCAAAGGAGGCACTGTACATGAGCACACCCTTGGGGGAAACAAAGATGCCCGAGCCGATCATGTTCCCCACAATCAGGCACACGCCATTGAGCAGTGAGATCTCCTTCTTCAGCTTTACCTGCTCGGCCCCTGGGGGAGCCCCATCACCCACGGGGGAGGCAGGAGCCTCGTGCTGGGGGGCCACTGCATACTTGCCCTTGCCGTCGTCCACCATGATAAAGCAGAGGAAATCCCTCAGCAGCTTCCTGTCATGGCCCTGGGAGGAAGAGAGACAGTGCAGTATGCTGAGTAGCTGGGGAATCCACAGAACCTCCACTGGACCCTACAGAGGCGGCCTGGGCAGCTGACTGCATTTCAGAGACCTCTCCTGCTTCCTCCCTCCAAACAAGCTTGTCTCCAGCTGCCATATCTAAACACTCCCCCCCAAAAAAAACCCAAAAAATAAATAAATAAAATAAAATAACCCCAGCTTGCATTTTCTTTTTCCTGTACCAGGGATCGAACTCAGGACCTTGCACTTGCCAGGCAAGTGTGGCACCACTGAGTTAAATCCCTGGCCCTCAGCTTGCATTTTTAAGGGCAGGTACTTGTTCCCCAGAGGGAAAACATCAGTCTCTCATAAGTAGGATGGCCAGTTCACCTGATTTACCCAGTAGAAAACTACACCCTGGTTCTACCTGAGGCTCCTGAGACACAAGACAGGCCTGAGGGTAGTTTGAGCCTGTGTTTTCAGCCTTCCCTAGTTCAGTCTTACCTGCCGCCCATGCTGCAATATAACACGAGCTAACTATGCATGGCAAATCTAAAGGTTTCTGAGAGCTCCATTAACTACCCTCAGCTGTCATCTTAAACCCTGGAAAAGCCTGAGCAGCCCCAGCCCATCCTGCAGAAGACAAGCAGACTCTTCCTCTTTTGTTGCCTTTTCTTGCCCAAACACCTTTCCTAGTCTCCAGCATTTCAGGCCTTCAGCCATCAAATCAATCACAAGAGCACAGTTGTATCACCCAAAAATGAATGAAACGAGAGGAGGGCGACCCCAATATACTGCCCAGCCAGCAAAGCACAGCTGGGGCACCACCCAAAACCAAGGCAAGGAAACGGCTGAAGCAGGACACTGGAAGCAGAACCAAGCAGGAGTCAGCTGAGGGGAAACCAGGAGCAGCTACTCAGGCAAGTGGTGGGATAAGAAGGCAAGAGGCACTCCAGAGAGGAAGTGACTGGACATGGCAGAGCACAAGGGGGTCAGAGGAGTGGGAACTGGGGACTGGGTGGGACAGACACTCACTCCCTGGCCCTGGATATAAGCAGGTTCCCCCGAAGCGAAGCGGCAGTCAGGAGACTCCAGGAATGGTGGTCTAAATGCTCCTCCGGTCAGCCAGCAGTAAAAGGGAAGACCAGCAAAGGCATACGGATTTAAATCCAGTCAAGAAGGGTGGAGGGGGTGAGGGAAAGGAAGAGGAATGTTGAGCAACTGTCTGGGTCCAAGGTTCACAGGCTCTTTGCATCTGCAAAAAGGGGCACCAAGGAGTCTGGCTCAGCACTTTCAGCGATAAGAAGGCGCTCTCTCAGGAATCTCCTTTGTCAGCTCGGCTGGGGAACTGGGAGCCCAGGAGAAAAGCCAGCCACCAGGGTGCCACTGGGGAAGCTGTGCCAGAGGAGTTAGCTGAGGACCGGCCTGGCCTGGCCTGGCCTGGTCTGGTACCGATCACTCTGCATGCCCTCCACCCGAGCCTGAGCCTCGCTTCTCTCCCACTCCAAACTATTAAGAAAGGCAGGAAGGTTGCAGGGTGTGACACAGGCTTGTTCACAGCTGAGATTAGAGGAAGTGTGAGAGCAGCCCCCGCACCCCGTGACTGGTGTCCCCAGCAGAAAACTCTGCACACTTCCCCAAGCACAGAGGCAGTGGCTGCCTCTACACTTGGGACCTTACCCCGAAGTCTGAGTGTCAGCTCCTAAAGGAAAAAAGCTCAAGAAAAAAACTCAAACTCTGGCTACAACTCCACCCGACTCACGTGCCCTTTCATCCTCAGGAAAACACAGCAAGATCCCTGGAGTATCCATAAACTCCTACAAACACCTTCTCCAAATATATGTTTACTTCAATTTCTTAAAAATACAGGAAGGGCTGGGGGTGTAGCTCAGGGATAGTGCTTGACTAGCAAATTTTTTTGTTTTGGTTGTTTTGGTACCGGGGATTGAACTCGGGTCCTTGCGCTTAAAAGGCAGGTGGCAAAACCACTGAGCTAAATCCCCGGCACTAGCAAATTTTTTTTAAAAAAGGGAAATAAGATCTTGACTTAACAAGCAAAAGAAATAAATCACTTTTTTTAAAATCATGGTTTAGCCTATCTTTATTTTCTACTTTAAATGTGGTGTTCTAGCCAGGTGTGGTAGTGCTCACCTGTAATCCCAGCAATCAGGAGACTAAGGCAGGAGGATTGCCACGAGTTCAAGGCCAGCCTGAGCTACATAGTGAGTTCAAGGCCAGCCTGAAATTCTGAGTCTCTTTTGCTCACAGAAACACAACCTAGCTTTTTTTTTTCTTTGAGGCAGGGTCTTAGCCTGCTGAATGCTGGGATTACAGATGTGCACCAGCATGCCCAGCCCAACCTGTTCATTCTGAAATCTACTTGTCTGTCCCTTTGTAGCCCCTTAAACTTTTTTTTTTTTTTTTTGGTACCAGGGATCGATCTCAGGTCCTTGCGCTTTCAGGTCAGGCGGCGGAACCACTGAGCTAAATCCCCAGCCCTAAACATTTTTTTTTGTAGTGGTGATTGAACCCAAGAATGCTTCACTGAGCTATATACCCAGCCCTCCCCCATTTTTTTTTTTTTTTTTTTTGTACCGGGGATCAAACTTGGGACCACAAGGCAGGTGACGGCACTACTGAGCTAAATCCCCAGCCCTTCTCCACCATTTTTCAGTTATTTTTCTGAGACAAGGTCTTGCTATCCAATCCAGGCTGGCTTTGAATTCACTAGGTAGCCTAGGCTGGCCTCGAACTCTTGGGACCCTCCTGCCTCAACCCTCCAGAGTGCTGGGATTACAGTTCTGGGGTTTTATTTTGTTTTGTTTTGTTTGAGATAGAGTCTCACTAAGTCACTAAGCCTGCACTTCCGATCCCCCTGCCTCAGCTTCCCAGTTTGGGGATTACAAGTGTGCACCACCATGCCCAGCCCCCTTAAACTTTTTATTTAAACCCAGGAGGGGCCTCTGGAACCATGTCTCCCAAGACAGCCTCAAATATATCTGAAATCCATCCAGAAGACACTGTCCTTTTCTCCCAGCACTTCCAAAAGTGCTCCTGTAATAATAATAATCGCTAGCATTTATTGAGCACTTGCCCAGCCAGACACACTCCCAAGCACTGTGATCTCATTAAACTCTCCCCACAGCCCCATAAGGCAGGAACTAAGTCCCTTGTAAGGTGCCAAAGTAGAGAAAGAGGGCAGCTGACACCTAGAGCACACACTTAATCACAGAACAATGCTGTCTCCCCACCTTCCCAGCCCTCTATCTGTCCTGGCCCCTGGTTCTTCCTTTTGGATAGGAAAGCACTACAGGGGGTTCCCTAACGAATCACCTGGAGAAGGGTGTGTCAGCCACCGTTTCTCCTGAGCCTAGGCTAAAGCTTGTTCACCTCAGTCCTGGCTGCTCCTCCCTCTCATACTGAGCAGGGATGGCAGCACTGGGATTGGGGGGAGGTATCCAATTCTTTTTTTTTTTTTTTTTTTTTTTTGGTATAGGGGATCGAACTCGGGACCTTGCACTTGCAAGGCAGGCGCCAGAACCACTGAGCTAAATTCCAGGCCCGAGGTATCCAATTCTAAAGCAAACAGAGGGCCGGTGATTTAGTTCAGTGGCACCGTCCCTGCCTCGAAAGCACAAGGTTCTGAGTTTGATCCCCAGTACCAAAAACTAAATAAAAATAAAATAAAGCAAATAGAGATACACATCGGCACACCTTCCCCTTTAAGATCAACTCCACTGCACCAACAGATGAGCATGAATCCTAATACATCAAGAAAATGAACAAAGGAGAGACAGAGGAAGGGAAAACACTGAGGAGCCTGGGGAAAGAAGTTGTGCAAGGTTGAATTCCTAACTGTTGCTATCAGACAAGTGAAATCTTCTCAAGGAATCTTGAGTGGGATCTGCCCAGAAGGCACCCACACTCCAGCAAACAGCGCGCCCTAGGGGCCTCATCAGGAAGTGCTGGGTGGAGTGGCCTCTCCAGCCCCTTCAGTCAGCCCTGGCTACCCGGGCAGAGGAGGCTGCCTTCACCGAGTCATCCCCTTCTTTCTCAGTCTTGCCTAGCACCTCGAGAAGGAAGAAACCACCTTCACCCTGAGTCTCAAGGTGAAGCTTCCACCATTCCGGCACCCAGGAGCAGGCAGAGCCCCAGACTCTGGAAGGAGCTCTGCCACCCCGGGCTTTCCAGAAGACCTTTGGAGATGATCTCGCCCGCATCATCTTTCCCGTCTCAGGTGCCCTCATCTCGGAGACGCTGTGGAGAGTACAGAGCAACCCAGTGTTCCCACAGCCTGTGGAAGAGGTTTCACATCAAGGAAGCAGGCAGCAGGACCCCCAGCATGCCGCGCCTGGCCGAGCAGCCAGGGGAACCCCAAGCCCACACCTCACGCTCCAATGGCAACAACAAACGCAACTCCCGGAGGAACCAGCACAAAGCTCAGCATCTGGGCTCCTCAGCCAAGCTCCGGAAGTGACTGTGAACACGTGCTCCCCCGAGACCCCAGGGCCTGCCCTCCTGCCTGCAACTGTGCCCCTAACAACAGAAACAAAACCCGTACAAGCCGCCGGTAAGGCTTGATTCCCCATCGCTCCACGCTAGCCGCTCAGCCCCTCCCCAGTTCCTCGTTTGTTTTTCTGTATTCCACTATAGCTAACACCGTCCCTTTAAAAAGAAAAAAAAAGTGAAGCAAGAAAGAAACTGTTTACTTCTATGGCCAGGCACGGCTACCATACAGGGAGGGCTGAAGTCTCTGAGCAGAAGGTTCTGCCTAGGGAGGGCTGGGACTAGGAAACAAGCGCGCTAGGGTCCCCCTTCAGCCAGTTTTCTGGGACTCACTCCATCCTCCTCCTGCACTCCCCCTCTCCCCATCGTCAGCGCTGTCTCACCTCTTACCTGTCCTTTGGGCTACAGCGGGGAGGGGAGGCTCTCAGCACACCCTGCTGGGGGTGGGAAGATGCCAGTTACTGGGACCCGGGGTAAGGCTCCTGCTGCAGCAGCTGTTGACTCTGAAGAGCGAAAGGCAGAGGGTGATGGGGACCGAAATGGAAAACAGGAAAACACATGTGCGACTCTGACCGGCGTCAGGGAGGGGCCAGGGGATGGGCTGGAGCTGGGATTGCCCAGTCAGACCCAGGGGGCCTGGATGCTTGCAGCCGCCAGGTACTTCCTCTACCCTGAGTCTCGGCTCCTTCTCCCCATAAGTTACTCCGAATTTACGGAATACTTCAGAGTCCTCTGCAGATCGGGGCATGGTGGTCCACACCTATAATCCCAGCACTCGGGAGGCTGAGGCAGGATTCCACAAGCTCAAGGCCAGCCTGGGCTACACAGTGTGTTCAAGGCCAGCCTGAACTACATAGCAAGACCCTGTCTTGAAAAAAAAATGATAGAAAGAAAGAAAGAAAGAAAGAAAGAAAGAAAGAAAGAAAAGAAAGAAAGAAAGATGGGCCAAGGATTTAGCTCAGTGGCCCTACGCCTGCCTCAAAAACGCCAGATCCAGTTTGATCCCCAGTATCAAAAAAAAAGAGATAGCGAGAGAAACAGATAAAGTTTCCTCTACAGCTCACAATGCCCTCCTGAGGTCCCTTACCACTCCCCACCTGCCCTCCCCCTCTCATTCCATTTCCTACTCTACTGTTTCCCACTCACAGATTAGCCTAGTCCCACAGAGGGCATATGATTCTTCAGTTGGGTAGCAAAACTTCATCCATCCCAAGAGTTTCCAGCAAGCCAAGGAAGATTATGTACACCAGGGAGAACCACTTGGTATAGCCAAACACATGCCCAGACATCAAAGCAGCCCAGACTGCAGATTGGTGCAAGTGGTGTGAACAGGTGAGTCTGAGTCACTAGGTAAAAGCCAACTGTGCCCTGGCACCCTGGGTAGACTCATGAGTTGGCACCTCTTCAAACCGCTATCACTCAAATATCTGTGAAATGCATGCTTAGCAGAGGTTAGGGGGAATGCCGATTTTCTCAGATAAAAACTGTTAAGCCTCTTTATATTCAAAATTAGAGGGACCAGGGATTTAGCTCAGTGGTTTCACCGTCTGCTACTCAGTACCAAAAAAAAAAAATTAGAGATGAACTGGTCATGTGCAATTTTCTGAAGTAGACAACTTCTTGGTGGACAAATTAAAGCACTTAAGACTAGACAATGGGGTGGGGACGCAGCTCAGCGGTGGAGTACTTACCTAGTATGCATGAGGCCCTGGGTTACTTATCCCCAAGCCCATCACCCACCCACCCCCCAAAAAAGATGCAGAAATGGCATAATTTTCTGTCCTGGGGAGTAATGCTTCACAATGCACCCTGCATTTTCAGAATTCCAGCTGCATCTGCTATCTTTAGGCAACCAACAGCTTGCAGGCCTCGGAGCTACACCATGCAAATTGCACCTGTGTTCGGTAAATTACGCCAGAGGCAAATTACACCAGAGGCAAATTACGCCAGAGGCAAATTACTACGCCAGAGACTGGCAGTCCAGGAAAGGAGTCCTAGCAGGTTGTCACCGGTTGGGAGCCAACTCACGTTTCACTAAGACACAGACATCAGAGTTCACTGGCACCAAATATCTGAGTTATTCCAAGAATAATTCAGTGGCCTTTTAAACCCAGGCTGCTTCCCAGCTGGCCTGCCCCTTAATCTTACTCCAGGGCCAGGTCCAACTTGGAAAGGAAGTGCTAGGAAGAGAGACAGGAGCTGTCCCTCATGGCACAGCTCTGTTCTCTCACTGCGTTCCAGCCACATTGGCTCCCTGCTGTGGCAGAGCTGCAGTGCCTGTTTGGTGCCCGGTGCCCGTTTGGTGTCCATTTGCCGGTTCTCCTTCCTGGGAACATTCCTCCCCGGGACATTCTTCATCCCGTGTTAACATAAACACCACAAGAGATTGTTTCCCGCTCTGTCCTCTAGTGCCGGGCTCACAGAGAGAAGTCAACAAATGTCTGCTGGAAGAATAAGAGAATGAATGAACAATGTTGTTCCTCTTGGATTTCCCAGCTGGCTGGACTCCTGGGCAGGTCTTTGAATTCGCCCTGCAGACCCCGTTGTGTTGCTTCCCTTGGCTCTTCAGAACAAAAGAGTATACAAAAGTGCTTATCCTTTTTGATAGAAATGGGTTGGAACAGTATGGTTTTCACTTTGACTGGGAGGCCTAGAATGGTTTGCAATCGATTGTTTGTTTCACTAATGGAGGAAAAATAAATAAAACAAAAAGGCCCTTATCTAACGTTCTTTGCCCGGATCCAGGAAGTTCTTGTCCGCCCTATCCCAGGCCAGGCTCAAGTGACGCGTCTAGGTGTGGCGCAGAGGTGGCGAAACCGAAGTACCTCGACTGGATGAAAGGGCAGAGAAGGCAGAGGCAGACGAGCACTCCGGTTCACGCACCATCCGAGTGGGTCCAAAAAAGGTGGGGCCGCCAATGTCCCCGGCTCGGCTCCCGCAGCTGTGTCCCCGACCTGGCGGCCCGCGCGTCCCTTCTCTCCGGCCCCGCCCCGCGCTCACCTTTGCCCCGACTCCCCCGCTGCCGCCCACATTCCCGAGCCCGCCACCCCAGATTCCCCTGTTCCTCCGGGATCCGGGTTCCGAGTCTGCGGCCCTAAGATCTCGCCCTCTCCTCTCGAGACCCAACCTAATCACCGTGCACCCTCTAGGATCCACGGAAGAGCTGGGTCACCCCGAGGTGCAAATCTGGCTGCGGGCGCCGACCCTGGCTCTTTCTTGGGAGACCAGCTCTCCAACTCACAGGGCATCTCCTCTGTTCCCTGCACCTGGCCGGGCTGCCCTCGCCCCGCCCCACAGGGCCACTCTGGGAAGCGCTGGAAGAAGGCGTCGTGGGGAACGCAGGTGGCAGGAGCAACGATCTGAGCGCTGCGAGGCCCCAGCCCGCTCCCCGGGTCTCCTCGCGCGGGCACAGCGTGCTGCCCCGGGTACCCTTAGACACGTGTCCTCTCCCTATCCAGCTCGAGCTGGAGGCCCGAGGGGGCTCTGCGCGAAAGCCCCGAACCCTGGTAATCTCTGCCTGCAGCGGGAAGGCGCTCAGCAGAAACCCCAGCGAGACCGTGGACTGGGAAGCCCCAAGGGGGCAGGGGACAGGGGGTGGAGCCTGCTCAGAACCGGAGGAGGGGTCTCCTGGAAAGCGTCTCCTCAGCCCAGCAGCCCGACTCTCCCCTGGTCGGGGACGCTGTTGCGTCAGCCCAGAGAGCCCGCACTGCAGAGTGGCCTCCACCCGGCCAGAAGGCGCCGGGCAGTACCGCCGCCGCCAGGAGGCAGCACTTAACCAAAAACGTCCGGGGCGAGGGAGTCCCAGAGGCTGAAGGCCCCAGAACGCCTCTGTCGAAGAGCTTTAGCGCAGCAAGGACAAAACAAAAGAGGAAGGTTGGGCTAGCTCAAGAAAAGGGATCTGGAAATGCTTCACACCTTTTAAGGCTAGAAAGTGGCTTGTAAATAAATAATACTTTTAGGATCGAGGATGTAGCTCAGTGGTGCCACCACTTGCCTCGAAAGCACAAGGTCCCGAGTTCAATCCCCGGTACCAAAAAGAAAGAAAAGAAAAATAAATAATACTTTTGCGCAGTCCAGCGTTGGCATTCTTTAAAGTAAACATTGCCTCTCCCCAGGGATCCACAGAGAGCCACTCGCCTTCTAGACCAGGCTGGTGGAAGGGCGCCCGCCGAGTCACGGGGAATTCCCAGCCACCCGGCTAGAAGGAAGAGTGTAGTCCTAGGTCATAATTGACCCATTCATTTTGAAGTTGGATCATTTCATCCAGAATTTAGCCAGTACTGATTTAAAAGAGATTTCACATCTTTTATGTTACAATAAATTACGTAAACAATGAGGAAATATACAAAGCAGTGTGTTGTATAGCTGAGTTATTTACACCCATCAGTACTCACATTATTTCTTCCTCCCTTTTCTTAGACAGGTTTCACTTTGTAGCCCAGATTGGTCTCAAACTCACAATCCTTCTGCCTCAGCCTCCCCAGTGGTGGGATTACAGGCATGCAACACCACGTCTGGCTCAATTCCCTCACTTCTTCAATTTCTCCATGAGGTAATAGTCATGATTTGATCTTTCAGCTGTCCTAAAGAGGAAGCTAATGAAAAAATTCCCAAGCAGCCCACCCTTCTCTCCACAACTTCAACCTTAGAAAATTGTTTTTTGTCATTTGCATGCAGAAAGAGGAAGAGGACACAAAGTGAGGTAGAATTGGATACGCAGAGTCAGCTTTACGTGTTTCTTCTCTATTGTCATCGTTACTCATCACAACCATTAAGAGGCACCTAATTTCCCAGAGCAAAGCACTTGGACAAAAGCAACTGAATATAAATCTACAGAATAAAGAGATTTTTTGAATAAACAGATTAGACAAAAATGTGAGTGGATAACATCACATCCTTGAAAGGCAAAGGAGTTTAAGAGAAGATAGGCATGAAGCTCAGACTCTCGGTGTTTCACTTCCCTCTTAACTCCTGCCATATGAGGATGAAGTACAAAGGTTAAAGGATGTCCAGTGTGGGATGACGCTGCTTTCCGGTGGTTGTTGAGGTTGATGCAGTCATTGAGTACTGTCCAGGTGCCAGACCCCTCCCTCAACAGTGTTCCACGAGGTTCCCAGAGTGCTGCTGTTAGCTGTGAGTGTCCCATGTCCCCCCTCAAAATCCTAACTCATATTTCCTGCTATTTACGACCCATGAATGGTCTCTCTGCCACATTATGCTAACCATGTCAAAGCTGAACTTGTTACCCTTCCAAACACTCTTCCTTCCCTTCCCCAAGTTCCTGGTTCTGATCAAACTGCTCGTCTTGCCCCACTCCTGTCCTCTTGCTCCTGAACTTCCACAGCTATTGAATGATTGCAGGTGTCCACTTTTGCACACAGCATTCACATCGTCCACATTATTGTTCACCTAAATGCATGTGTCCTTTTGTGTGATTTTGCAAATTGACAGTGTCCTTCCCATGTGTGAGTTAAGACACAAGTGTTCCTGGAGTTTCTTTAAT